CGGCTCTTGTTTGGTATGCATCTCTGTTTCAGGTCCCCTTCCAAAGACAAGAGAGCAGTAGTTTTTTAAGGCCCTGTTTCCCACTTGAGGAACAGGAAATTATGAACCATAGTTTTAAAAACTTTTGTAATAAGCATAAACCTTTACTCTGTTGCTGTTGTCTGCTAATTAGTTCTCAAATTACTTCGATGACACAAAGGATGCTTGTAAACAAGCAACACGTGAGAGGGATTAACTTTCATGTTTCCCGCCATAAGAAAATTCATTGACATGAATGATGAATCATAAAAAAACAACGCTGCCTAGTATTTGGAACTCACCTGCACTTAAGCTTGTCTCTGGTTCAGTTTCGGGGGTAGCTTTCCCCCTCAAATGCGGCGGCACGTAAACTTGTTGATCCGCTCTTCGGGGTCTTTCCCTCCGGGATGGACCGCTAATCTTGTTTTGCACCTTCAAAAGCTTTTGCTCTTTGTCATACTCATCTCTGTCCACTTGATTCTTGATTATCGACTGCATGAATCCGTGTTCCATGTTTAGTTTTGCTCGCCCGTCGCCCCTTTCCGAAGACATCTTGCTTTGAACTGTGTGACCTGTGCTGCGTACCCACATTACGAAATTTCTCGGAGGTTCCCGAAATGTAATCGATGTAACACGATAGCATACCGACTGATAAATCTCGGCGGTGATTGGTTGAATTTGAGATGTCATCGTATTATGGTCTGTTGGCGCCATTCAATTTAGCTGTTTCTCAAAATCCACGAGTGTTTCTGTATACATTTGAATCGGTTTAGACCTTTCCTCGTAAGTTTTGTTCACTTTTTAATTCATTTTAGAATTTTACTGCATTTTAAGGTTTTAGTGTGTATTTAGAACGGCATGGCTGGCCGTGGAGGACGAGGGGCTGCACTTTTGCAGGTAAGAAATGTTGTAATCCTCGCACAATCGACTCCTTTGTGTGGCATATAGCTCAGCTGAACCACAGTCTATGCAAACAAGACGACAGACTGTATCATAGCATTCGTTCACAAGATTAACTTGTTTTATTTCAAGCTACTTCAGGTTCTGTTTTCGAGTTATTTTGCGAGGAGAAAACCACCGTTGCTTTCAAACCGCCAAAATAAGACTTTTTCCGATCAGCGCGATCCCATGTTGACGCAATGTCAGAATTGAGCAAGATTGTCATTCAAATGCGGGCTTTTGTAATCTTGTTTATACTTCAAACAAATGAGCATTGACCACAATAATTTTAGGTAATTAAATGTGGTACTGTTACCAAGGGAATTTATTACCTGTATCCGTGACTGAATTTCATGCGTCTCTCTCAACGGGCCGTATTTCCTTTCCCTGACGTCATAGATCACAGGAGTTGCACCCTTGAGAAGGTCAAACTCGAACACCAAATCGTGGCGTGGTTGACTATACCTCTTCCATTGTTTGTTGTCACCGATGTTATAATGTCTTCACTGATGAAGTGTCCAATTTCGTCATAACAAGATGTACATGTAGTATTCTTCCTGGAGGTTTATGTTATCTTAACGTTACTAGTCTGAGACTAAGCAGAACAGCAGGCACTTGTTTGTTTCGATAAGCTTATTGGTCATGTTGGACACAAAAACTGATCCTTTCAAGTTTCCACATTTTGAATGAACTGCGCTGCAAAGTGTTTCTATCATATAAAGTGGAATTCATAGTCAAATAGATGTGATTATCTTGGTAGCTAGAGCTGTCAATAAGGGCCGTAACCTGTAGCACCTGTTACTGTGGAGCATGCTAGATTGGCTCTTGATGTTAAGGGTGAACCTGGCTGTAGTTGGTACAGTGCACCCTTAAAGTAACAAATTTGTTAGGGGGGGTGAAGATCAAGGCTACAGTTGAATGAGAAATTAACAACAGCCCTGACTAGCCATCAACCTTAAAGGAGAAGGTCACTTCAAAAAACATATATTTTTTGTCAACGCTAATAAAAACCTTGCACTAAGTTTAGCCACTCACCGAAGTTTCAGCTTCTAAAGTGCAGGTGTTCCTTGGGAAATTCGTCTCCAAATTTGAACATCGTTGCCGCCATTTTGAACAGTACTCAGCAGCCAGGCTGTGTTTTCGTGACGTATTACCATCCGAGAGATGGCCTCCGAAGAGGCTTTTAACTACCACTCTGTGTTATGGCTGCTCTTTAGCCATATTATTTTGAGCCAAACATGCTCCTAACTCCGCAATGATAGCATTGAAGATAGTGAAGTGGAAAATTGCTTGGAAAAAATGGATTTTGCTGACCTTGTGAAGGATGCAAAGTCAGTTGCAGGTTTTTCTCCTTGCTGCCAATTTCGAGTTGGACCGAATGACGTCACATAAACATGGCCTGGCTGCCAAGACAGTTTCAAAATGGCGGCCTCCGAAGTCAATCTTTCAAGACGAATTTCTTCTGGATAGCGGGCACTTCAGAGGCTGAAACTTCAGTGAGTGGAAAAGCTGAATGTTTACTTGCTATAGGTGAAGACTAAAAAAGTAAGCTTTCTGGAGCGACCTTCTCCTTTAAGTGTGATAGCAAGTGATTTGATCCATCGATAGCTTTGACAGCGGCTTTAAACCAAAACGTTGCCAATATTCGCATGTGAGGTTTCACTCTTGGGAATTGTTATTCTTCCACAAATTATTCCAATTTCCATACCGTCTCATTTTCTTGAATAATTACATTACATTTACTGCTTGAAGATTTTTATTTTCCTTTGTAAATGGAAACCATCCTTTAGGTAGGCAGACAAAACACAGGGAGCCCACACCAAGATTCAAAGTGAAACCTTACCACTTTGCAAAGCAGCAGCAGATGAATTATTCATGAAAAAAATATCTATTCATCACAGTGAGCTAAACGATTACCACAGGCTTAAACGATTGGTACTGTGAGCTTAGAGCGGATGTCTGGAATCAAATGGCTGTTGTTTTCTGCTGGAAAACATTCAAAATACTCACCAAATGACTTGTTAAACTGGCCATGTTTATTTATTCATGGTTATTGTAGATGCTCTACAGGTTTTTGTCACTTTTCACTGAGGACAGGAGATTGCTTGATGCTAACTTATGCTTGAAAAGGTCATTTGACAAAGCACGTGGTTTGTTCTAAATCCTTAGCTATTTGTCATTTTGGTCAGTTTGGGACCAGCTCTTGTGTGAGTAATTTCTATCCTCTGATTCAATTTTGTGCAATGAAGGAAGGAAGGTGTTTGCAATAATTCAAGTCCTAAGGACAGAAATATCCATGTCAGAATACAGGGTTTTCAAAATAAGCCGGTGGCCGATGGAAGTCACCAGCTACTTCAAGCATTTGTGCTCGGTATCATTTGACAAAAGTTTATTCAATCCATACAAAGTTTTCTTTCACTCAAAGTAATCACGATCTGATATTTCTGAGGAAATAAATGAACAGGCAAAAAACAAAAAACTAAACAGTGCGGCAATTATGTACCTTTTGAACTTCAAAGCAAGAACAACTTTTGGCAGGCATTGTGCCTGTGTTTCGGAACTATCAGATTTGTTGTCACATGCACATTTTCCACCATGAAGTAGAGGCAACAGTCTATGCTGTCTTTTATTGCCTCTGTTGAGACGTCACAAAGGCAAACAGGTAAACAAATCCTGTTTGCTGTTCCAGTTTTCAAAGCGATGATAAACAGCTGAACTGACCTATAGTGTACCCCTCTACGTGTCCATGTCCATGTGAAGACTATAAAGGCAGTCTTTGTCATGAAATGTTACTCATTACTGCACCTTTCAGTAACATGCAGACTCTAAAATTCAAAGCTCAACTGAGAAATGCGTTTTTTGCTACTGTCAATTAAATGTCCGGCGGGTCCTCCCAGCGCCAGTAGGCTGGTTGTTCAGTGGCACTC